TAATTACATAAGATCACTCAAGCAATCTCATCCTTGAAGAGAAGTACCAACATCACTGGCTACTCTACCACTTCTTATCCATGCAGCAAACTCTCAATTTCAGCTCCTCCATCACATTTGCCCCTTATTGCAGCTGATTTTCACCTCGGGCACTGCTGCCAGAAGGCACCAACCAGCAACACAGCAACAAAAACAAAGAGCTTGAAGCCCTCTGAAGTTTCCAGCAGACTAAGGAATTGTGGACTGGAGTGATATTTTAGTTCACATCCACAAGTGCAACTGTAATTCACATACATCATCACCAAGATGTGGAGGACAAGCAGAAAAAAAGGCAAGACATCCACAGGCAAGTCTTAAATAGACTGCTTTCTCTTATATGAAAATAAACCTACTAGCTGGTTTGCTTTTTTTCATGGATAGCTTTCTGTATGTAACGTTTTCCCATTGCATCTTTGCCCCTTTTACGCTGTTCCAACACAGATCAAGAGTTCCAGCTTTGCACAACCACTCCATGGTAGATTATAACCTGTTACACTCCCAGTCTCCTTTCTTGTACAGTACACACAGTCACAGATGATAATCATCATTTCCATTGGGGCCCAAAGGAATTTTTGTTCAGCTGTTTCTATAAATGGGTGCAACTCCTAGATAAGAAATCATTTGGCTAGCAATGTTTAATTATATTGATTACCACACCTTTGAAAAGACAGCATCAGAACACCAATGCAACATATTACTTAAGTCATGAGGAGAGAGTAACAAAGGCTTGGTTTCTCTCTTGAGCAAAAAATATCCAGCACTCCCATCCACAGGGCAAGGGTCACAGAGAGATGCAGGGGGCTCTTCCAGAAAGATCCTCTGACTGTTCAAAATGGGCACTTGAGCTTCTCCAGGGCTGCACCCCCTGTGCTGTGCTCCTCACTGGCCCATGGCACTGCCAGGACAGGTTGATGTGCCACCTCCCTGAACTGGGAACAGCTGGAATGAAGCAGAACAGGCCAGAGGGATGAGGACATGTACACTGTGTACAGGTGACACTTGGCTCAGAGGAGGCCCAAGGAGGCTATTGCAGCAACCCCAGCTTTAAGAGAAGCCATGAGATATCCTAAATTACACTTTCAAAACCTGCTGTCCCCAACAGCTTTTGGAGGATTATGGGAGCACAGCATTGGGTTAAGCTCATGTCTGTGATCTCTCGTCTGTGCCTACAGCCAAATCAAATGAGTATCCAGGCCAAAAGGTTTTAAATTAATCCCTCCAAATAAAAAAAAAGAAAAAATCCACTAGATCCACTGAAACATTTTATCTGGGCCTGTAAGACAATGCATGGTGATATGAAGTACCAGAGGGTGCTCTGCAGCTCTTCAGGTAAAATATTTTATCAGTTTATCTGCCACATCAAAATATCAAACAAGCTTGTATGATGTTACTATCAACACCAAGACGTTGTGCTTATTTCTCATGTTTTTAGCTAAGTAATTTAGCAAGTGTCATACATCTTTTTTAGAAGACTGCAGTGTATTTTGTCCACAGTAATACTTTTTAGAAACTTAGGGAGAAAAGGTGCAAAGCATTTTGTACTTTACTGGATAAAATTTCCAAAATTGAATAAAATGGCAAATTATTTCCTACAGCTATTAAGGAACTACTAAGAACAGAAATATGAGACAAGGATTAAGAAAAGGGATACATCTGTTCTGAAAAAAAAAAGTCTTTGAGGAGAATTACTAGAAATAAGAGAAACTGAAAAAAACGCAGTGAACTTGTATGGAAAAACAGCAGAAGGCATATTGCCAACAGATGGTGAAGAAGTCATACACCAAAAAGGAAAACAAAGTTGAAAGCATACTCAATTTTGAGGACTTGAGAAAAAAAAAACAAAACCAAAGCTAACTCCTTCCTAATCACAGATTCCCTGGTTAAAAATGGAGCTGCATGTTCTTAACACTTAGGAAAGCAGTTGTAATTTCTGGGTTCTAAAATGGAGGCATTCAAAATTAGCATCTGTCTATGAAAATGTTGGTCCACTCTTGAAATCACTTCCTTCCTCCCCACTATGAAAACACACTCTTTTTTTTGGTATGTTTTCATTTTTTCTCATGTTAGTGGTTAAGCTCAATGCACTGGAAAATATCTGATGCTTTAAGAGGCCACTTTCTTATCAATTCAGATATCTGTTTAAAAAGATGCTTCCTCTCTGAGGCCTTTCTGCAGCAGCTGGTAACAGGTACTGCCACAGGAACCAAGAGACAGGTATTTGCAGAGCCTCTCACATTATTCTATGTGTCCGTACTGTCAATCCAAGTCTCAACCTCACTTTTGGAAGTAGGAGTTTTACACAGCGAGTTTAATAGCACTCACTGATCAAAGGAATTTGACATGCTATACTGCAATTTTTACTGGGGGTACATTTTGCAGTTGGAACTCAATAGTAAAAAAATACTAAGTCATAACAGGAGTCTCACATGAACATCCCTGGCACAATCCTGTCAGAACACAAAAAAATACTTTAAATGTCAAAATAATACAGAAGTCATCTTCTAGAACTGTGTATCTTCCCCCAGCAAACCTCCTTCCCTTAGTTTGCATACCTTGCAAGAGCTACTCAGGAAGTTGACATACTGTTGCTGCAAACCCAACAGCAACAGACACCAGATTTTACTTTCTTCTAAAATTCGCAGCTGATATTTCAGCTGCAGGCTTCAAAAGTTCACCTTCCAGTTTCTCAAGGCTAGTTGCCACAAGTAAGTTTTCCAACTTGTTTTATCCCCTTTCCCGCTTTCATTTCTAATGTCTACTCATACACTGACTCTGGTTAAGATACTGAAAGAAGTCATTACCAGGAACAAGGCCACAACTTTCCCATTTGTAACACTGACTCTGAGCTGCCACTTGAAAGTTAAAATGGGTGACTTATTTCTAGCACAGAAGTAATACTGAAGCATTAGCAATTGTTCCTACTTAAGAGTTTTGTGTATCTTGTAAATATTAACCAATTTAAAATTATAAATCCCCTCAACCTCTAAAGCGCACAAATATTGCATAATATTGTAGCTAAGGCCTTTTTTTTTTTTTTTTTTTTTTTAAGTCACAATCCATCATGGTTCAAAACCTGTGGAAAGAGTAGCTTTGATTTTGACTATGAGACTAAAGGCTACCCTAAGGTGAAGCTTTAGGAACTGGCAGGATCACTGGAAGAGTTTTCAGGACAGACAGGGATGTTCAACACAGCCAAGTGCCTGTGGGCACATCACCTGACGCTGCACAGCTTCTTCAGCTGAGGGAAGGTTTGCTATGAATACACTTACTCGATAATAGACACCTGTGGGTTCATTTATTTTACTGTCTGTCGTGTTCTCAGTCAACCATCCACACTTACAGACAAGTTCCTCATCAAGAAAAAAAATCTTAAAAACCTCTGACGACAGAGTCCTTTTCTACATCAACATCCACACTACAAGGCCTGTATAAGGCATATACATGGTTGGTGACTCTTACAAGAGCTAAAGGTTGCTTTCAAAGGGAAGAACAAGAAAACAAAAACCTTCACAAGTCTTCCTAGAATCGCAGATATAAATGCAATAAACAGCACAAACAGTCAAACTTTTTATGCTGATTTGACAAAAACACAACACACTTCTAAACCTCATGGACCACTCAGGCTTAATTTAGAACAACACAAAAAACTTGATCCGCCACCAAGCACTTTCTATTTACTTCAGCAGACATAGTTCAGAAATCAGAACAGAAAAAATCCTCACGAAATTTATTGTGACATTCAGCTTTTGCACCCAAACAAAACAATCAGACACACACTGCCAAGAAACATCAGTGCAGCTTCAGGGCACCAGCAAGGGCTGCTACGTGCAGGGCTTCTCTTCAACACTTACGGGGCTCCTATCAGGGTGGAATTCTTGAACTCGCTAAAGCATTTATAGATTACATGACTGTCCGGTTAAATACTTCCTGCAATTTTGTTAATTATACATCAAGCTCTGCAATTAGGGAATGACTCCCATCCTAGAAAACATACAGCTCTCAAGTTACCCACCTCCCCCCAGAATGTGTGTTTCTGTAGATGCCTCTGGTATGTATACTATTATCCCAGACAAGAAAACACTTTCAAAACTCGAATAGAATGTGCAGTTCTATGGCTGGATGGTTTTCCTTTTAATTTTTCAGTGCTGTAGACCGTTTGTTTAGGTCAGCACACATTTCTGTAGGTGCGGGAGGAGATGTCCGGGAGCAGACAAGTGCAACCCCAAGTTCAGGTTCCCTCTTCGTGTCCATCCCTTCCAGAGGCGGCCAAGCGCAGGCTTCGACACCAATGCCATCCTCCCTCCACACCGGCGTTACCCTCCGCTGACAGCAAAGCCATGAAAGCACGCTCGGCCTTTTCCTTCTTTCCCCCTTGATTCGTCATCAAGACGTAAATTAAGAGATTCTCCCAGAGACAAAAAAAAAAAAAAAACCAAAAAAAAAACCAAAACCAAAAAACCCACCGAACAATGGGAAACACTTCCCCGCCGGTGCCCCACAGGACGGAGGGAAACAGGATCCGCTGCGCTGGGGGAGTTACTCAGTGGGGATCAGATGCTGCTAAAAATACGGGAGCGGTGCGAGCGGGCCCGGGCAAAGCCCGGGCAGGGCCCGCGGTCCCCGTCCCGGAGCGTCCCCGCGCCAGACGGTGCGGGGGACATCACACAGACGGTGATGTCACCGCCGGCGGCAACAAAGGACGCGGCACCGGCCGGGCGGCCCCTGCCCTCCGCCTCCCGCCCGCCCGGAGCGTCGGCACCGGCCGAGACAAAGCGGCTTCCCCCGCGCTACGTGCGGGCGGAAAGGGAGAGGTTCGGGCCGCCCAACGCCGGAGCGGCGGCGGCGGGGAGGCGGCGGCCCCCGGGGCGGCGCGGAGCGGCCCCGGGCGAGCGGCCCCGCGACCCCCGCCAGCCGCGGCGGGGCCCCGCAGCCCCCGGCCCCGCTGCCGCCCCCTCCCCTACCTGATATGGCGGCGGCGGCTCCTGATCCGGCTCAGCCCCGTCTCCGTAGCTAGCTCTGTCCGACTGGGACTCGTGCAGCAGCGAGATGTCATCCGAGGTGGGGGACTTGAGGCAGTTCCCCATCTTCCCGGGGGGAGCGCGGCCCCCCCTTCGCCTCCTCCCGCTCCGGATCCGCGTCCTCAGCCTCCCCGCCGCAGCGCGCAGCCCGCAGCCGCCCCGCCGGGGAGGCTCATGCCAGCCCCGGCCCTAAGCGGCTTAGCAGCTGCAGCCCGGCCGCCTCCCGCTCCGCTCCGCAGCCGCCCCGACCCCCGAGCCGGGGGGGCGGCAGGACGGGCCTCCCACCCCCCGTGGGGCAGCGGGCTCCGGTGGGTCCGCCCGCGGCTGCCCGGCGCGGTTCTGCTTCCCGGTCACCAGCTCCCTGCGCACTGGGCTTTGTCGCACGGGCCGCCCTGGCTCCTCCTCTCACCCCTCCCCGCCTGGCCCGGGGAGCAGCCACGGGGCCTCGCCAGGCTGCGCACCCCCCGGCCCCGCCGCGGGGACAGCCCTGCCCGCCCCCGGCGGGACGAGGCGGGACGGGACGGGCTGGGGAACCCAGCCGCCTGCCGGGCTCCCCCGGCCCCAAGATGGTGGGAGCCGCTTGGGCCCGCCCCCGAGCGCGGTGTTTGTTTGTGTTCCGGGCATGGCGGAGCCGGCGGCCGCCCGGGCCCGGCGCGGCGGGACGGGACCGCAGCGGCGACCCCCGCAGCACCCGGCCCGCCCCGGCTGAGGCGCTCTGTGCGGGGCCCAGGGGCCTTCCCAAGGCTCCTCAGGCAGGGAAGAGCTCCCCGTGCTGGTCGCTGGCGTGACCCCAGGGGCACGGTCAGTCTAGGCACAGCGCAGTGAGCCCCAGAGTGGAGCAAAATCAGCAGCAAGCACTTGGCTTTTGCGTTTCTAAAGGTTTTTTTATGCGATGAGCAAGTACTCTAATGAGCCATATATTTATCTTCTCTTTTTTACCTTCATTAAAATATATCCATACTTGGATATAAGTCCAGGTAAGTACTGATAAATGCAAATCTGAGGATACTGAGTGCCCCCGTGTCACTGTGTTAGTGTGCCAGCACTGACCCACACGGTGTGGGATATACGATGGTCCTGTTAGTGTTCTTTGGTTCCTCAAAATGCATCCTTGGCCTTCAGAGTCACATAATGGAAAATACCTTAAAATCCAATTTTTAAAGTGAAGTATTTTTTAAGGTGAAGCAAATATGGTGCAGATGAGAGCAGCTGCGAAGTCCAGTCTGTAAAGCCGTACAGCGTGGCTGCTGCTTATCACTAAGTTGTCTGCTGATACAGCTTGGGCCTGCTTTGCACCTTCTTGGGTCAGAATATCTCCAGACGTGCTGTTCACAGTTATGTATTTGCCTCTACAATCTCTGCTGGTGGACCTCAGTCTGGGATCAGAGTTTTTGCTGATTATCCTTATGAGTTCATTCTTGTAGATTTCATTTTATTACTGTTCAGAGTAGTTTATTTTGCTGCTTATCAAAGGGTAAGTTAAACAACCCTGGTGTAAAGCCTGTGATTGCTGCCATTTATGGTGCTCTAACGCAGCTTCAGGCTTTTCAAGGAAACAGAAACTGAAAATTGGGCAGGATTTTGAGTGTTGCTCAAGATAGAGAGGCTTTGCAGTGGTGCATTGTAAATAATGACTGTGGTACGTGGCTTGCTCATTTGGGTGTTTATCCTATGAGTCTGTTGGCTTGCTTTAATAGAATTAGGCAAGCAATTGTTGGAGGGGATCTAGTGAACCACTGCCTCGCCCAGTCATGATTTTCAAGGTTAAGGCAATGTCAGAGCTGTCTGCTGTGAGAACCTGGTGATGCAACTCCAGCATTGTCACTGGTATTTTGAGTTGTGCAGTGGCACTATTGGGAACAAGATGATGGGCAGCTAGAAGGACTGAGTTACGCAGCTGTTATCTCGTGTTTTGTTTTCTCTCTGAGGCTCGGGCCTGTGTTGTTGATGTAGTTCAGTGAAAACCACAGGTCACACTGTGCCATGGTGTGAGGCTGTGATCACAGTTTTGATCCTCCACAGTGAGGAGGTGCTGTGGAAACCCGGGGTGCCTCCCTGCTGGCTGACGTGCCAAAATAGCCTTTCTTTGGAAACCAGAGTGCAAACTGGTCTCATCCTGATATGCAGTCAGGACATAGGTGGGATTTCCTCTGCATCTCAGGGTAGAGATGTTGCGTTTATTTACCTTGAGGCCTAGCTCCAGAAGGAATAGCTGCTAACCCCAGTTAAAACTTTCCCCTTAGTAGGTACAGGATGCTCCAAATCTGGGTATGTTTTTAAAAATGCAGACTTGTCAAGTGCCAGAAGAGACCTGCTTTTCACGGTGGATTCACAGAGACCAAAGAGGAAGCAGAGGTTCATGTTTGGCCTTGCAACAAGACAGACTGCACTTGTGAGAGCTCTGAAGGGGGAAGAGCTACTACCAGTCATGTCTGGACTCTTTGAAGTTGGGGTGGTTGAAGGCACTGCTTTTCCTGGCCATTCACTCCTGTTTTGCCAGATAGGTCATTAATAGTGGCTTTGAACCACCGGCTCAAAAGTTGTACAAAGGTCTAGGAGATGGAAAATGGAAACATTTTAGTGTTCACAAATGTCTTTTAATATCCCTGAATATGCTGAGATGTAGCTGTGAGCCTGCTCCTTTTGCTACCACACTTTTTGTAGGTTGGGGACAAGGAAGCAGAGGGATGGATCCTCAGAAGGTGTGATTTATGAGTATGGTTTCTTTGCTTTAGCAGAACCATGGCGTAGTTTAACTGATTACTTTGATTCTCTCTGGTTTTTACTTCCTCTACTTAGTTTGGGGAACAAGTAATAGTCAGAATGGATTTTATAGAGCCTTAAAATGCTCCTGTAGAGGAAGAAAGATTCTTGTCGTGGTTTAGGGCTGCACAAATACTACTGACAGAAAAGATCATGCAAATATAAAAATTTGTGTCAGACTAATATCAATACAGAACTGGCAAGGCAAGTCAATGAAACTTTTCCTCACATCTCCAACATTTAAACAGTTGGCTGTAATCTGTTGTCAGAATGGAAATGGGAAAGTTCTGAAGTTTGCCAGTGTACAGAATTAATGTTCTGGTACACCTCAATACAACAATGTCACACATGGGTCTGTCCTCACCACCTTGTGGCAGCTAGCATCTTCTGAGTGAAATCTCTCTTTCAAAACAGAATGGAAATTCAAGAAAAAGAGTTTTAAACTATGCAGACAAAGTTTATGTTTTATTTTACAGGCTTTTGATATGAGAGGAGGCAAATGACACATTGACATATTCTTAAGGCTCATACGAAGTAGCCAGAGGTGATGAACTGTTCTACTGAAAAATCCATTTCCTTTTGAGTTCAAAATCTAAAATCCTCTGGAGACATAAAAAGTCCTTCTTGTTAGGAGTTCCTCTACAAAACTGACGTCATAAATTGCCTAATTTTTAGATGAAAGACCCTTTGATAACACCATTTTACGTGATCCATGTTCATGTTATTGTTGGATAACATTTTGGATATGTTTAATATGTCATGCTTAACAAAAGTTTTCTAAAGACCTTTTCTGTCCTCAGCATGGAAAAGTTTTTTCACTTCCTTTTCTTCCTTCAAGCTTATTTTCCCAACACTTATCATCTCTCATTAGGTCTTATCTTTCTTCTGGGTAGGATTGTTTTCCCAATTCATACACAGAAGCCCAGTTGATTTCTGAGTGCAATCTTTCCATGCCATGCTACCCAGAGGTTCAGAGATAACTCTGTTTGCTTGGGTAATGTTGGTGAATAGAACACAATGCAATTTTAAAACCTTTTTCTGGAAGGAAAAAAAAAAGACTTTGTATACCTCTGGAGAATGGAAGTAAATTACATTCTTCCATTATGTATGTGAATCTGATTATGAGGATGGTGGAATTAATTTATGTGGTTATAAAGAACATGGCATCTTCTAAAATGCACATGATTATTTTTAGTTTTGTTGATTTTAGCTGAACCTTAGACATTTCTCAGTGTATGTTACAAATGCATATTGCTTTCTGAGACAGAGTGAATGCAGCACTAGAAAGCAATTATGGAACTAATATATCTCCCTGAAATGTACTTTGTGATGCAGGATTTTACTCATGTTTCTAAAAATTACTTAAACTTCTGCCTAAATTATACTGGTATCACAAATATGCCACTTAAAGCAATTTATCGCAAAGATACCATCTTGGTAAGAAGAAGTATTCCATGACTGGCAAGAATAACTTGCTTTCCTTAATAACGGTCTTCCCCAGGTCCAAAATGTTTTTTTTCAGTGAGGAGTGTAATGTGTGCCTATCCTGTGCCCTGGGGCACCTGCCCTGTTCTCTGAGCCACAGAGAACAGAAAGAACATGTATTTTGGCACTGAAACACCCAAGCAACAAAGCAGACAGTCATCATACAAAAATAACCTCTTCAAACAAACCCTCTGTCACCCAGCTTCCTGGGGAGTTTTGTGTAGGAATAATTTTTTTTCCCCTTGTACCACATGTTGCCACAGTCTCAACTTCAAGAATGATCAGAGACCTACAAAACATGATCTGAGGGGAAGGATTGAAAGAATTGGGGTTGTTTAGTCTGAAGAAAAGGAAGGTGTTGGGAAAAACGGTAATGATCTTTCAAAAATAGAAAATGTTTCTCTGCAGAGAGAAGGAATCAGTTTTTCTTTATGTTCAGTGGGTCTAGGGCAAGAGGTGATGGACTTGGAGATTTAAAGTAGATATTAGGAAATTATTTCAACCTGAAAATGTAGTTTGGCAGTGAAAATGATTATCTGGGAATCTCATTTGCTGAAGGCTTTGAAAGGCAGATTAGGTCACACGTCTCAGGAATGGTTTTAGTTGCAGTAGATTATATGGTAATAACCCCAAAAGGTTCCTGGCTGGTTTATGATGTTTTGTTTCTCTCAGGTGATTTACAGCAGGTGCTTTACTGCTGTGTTATTTTGATTCTCACTCTTCTTTGTATGCTCAGAAAATGCCAGGAAGAAAAAATGTCAATAGGTAAAAAATTGGGTAAGTAGGATGGGTGGGGACATTCCCAGTAGCAGAATACTACAAAATCACAGTTCCTGCAGGAAAGCTGGTGTGCTTGAGCAGAGTGTGACATGCTGACATGTCCTCCTGACAGGCTTTGGCACACAGGTTTTGGGCTGGCTCTCAACAAGTGGTGGTTAGTCAATACACAGAAATCTGTGTTTTAAATTTTAGTTTGAGCTTCACTATTTGCTGTATTTGAGTATTTCCTGAATTTGCATGGAGTGAATTCTATCCACAGTTCACCTGAAGCCAATTTGTTAGACTTCTTGTTCCTCCAGTTCTCTACAACAGTAAGGTAGTACCCAAAGTGCATGTAATTCTTTGAAACAGAGTTGAGGAATTAATTGTTCTAGTTAAATATGCATTCTGCTGCAAAATTTAAAACACCTCTTGTTCACCTTCTCCATACTCTTCCTGTTTTTCTCATTTTCACCATTCTTCCTATAGCCTAAAATCTCTCTTTTCTTCCTGTAGGTAACTGTAGGTCTTCTGCAATAACAGAGTGATAAAATGACACTTGAATAGATGCATGAGAACCTCGGGAGTGTGATATGTCAACTCTGGTTGACAGAGACAACTCTGCCCAAGTCCAAGATCACCTATGTCTTTGTCATTCCTTGACAGAAAACTGCTGAAACTCTTTCTGGATACTGATTGATGGCTACAGGTACTGTGTTCTAATCCCTTACTGCTGAAAAAAATTTCCTGAGATTGCTGTAAGTCAAATTCTTTATTAGGTGTTCTGTTTGTATTGTTAAAGCAATTTTAGATACCTGAAAACTTTTAAGTGCTTTGTTTCAGTTTTTCCTTATGGATCATGATTTGTAATTCTCTGAGATGTTTCCCTGCAGCCTCCTTCTTTGGTCCACTTCTCCAGTAAGCATGGTACCACAAGCTGCACAGAGTGATTCACTTAAAACCTCAGGGTTTAATAAAGGAATAGTATTTATAGTGTACAAAAATGCAATTGATCAAATTTAGTGTCCTTCCATTTTCCTAACGCATCATTGCCTGCAGTTTGTAGCTCTTGCCACTCCCTATCCTTCTCCATGTAATTCCTGCCTACTCAGATTTTTTTATTTTATGCTTCTCCAGATGATTATTCTGAAGGGTACTATTTTGCACTTCCTGTTGAAGCTCTGGTCTGTGACAGCTTAGCCTGCTGAGTTGCAGCAGAAAAAATTACTGGAGACTGATCAGAAGGAATGTGAGAAGGAACCATGGAAGATTTTGTACGAAAAGTATGAGGTGGTTCTGAACAACTGCCCTTGGGAAATTCACTTTATCCTCTGGCCAGAAATGTTTCTTCTTAACATTTAATTTTACTTTTTGATTAGTCTGTGTTTGTACAGCCTCTTGGAGGGACAGGCTGGAAATTTGTACCAGTATTTGCTTTTGTATGCTCAAACACTACTGTGTTTCCTGAAAAATAATTCTAGAAAACAACTATATCATGCAGAAAACAGAAGTTATCATAAATTAAACCTCTGACAGTATGGAAAGGAATACAAGAAGGTAATTGTGCAATTCCTTAGTCTGTTCTGATTTTGGTTGTGTGGAGATTCCTATAAGGCATGAAAATCTTGCTTGTTTACTTACATGACAAAAGAGGAGAAAGGCCCTTTATTTTAGCAGAACATACTGTTTAAACAAACACCACAGTGAAACAAGACAGCTAAAGGTACTACAAGTCTATTTTTTTAATGTTTAGAAATTTTTGTGTCTAAAAATAAATTATTTTTCTTTTCATTTACTGTGAAGTGCATGCCTACAATTACTTTTTGTAACAGCAAGCTGTTTCCTCTTTCAGTTAAGTTTACAAAAATTACACACTCTGTGAAGCTACTTTAACTTTTATTTGGAGGCATTATCATCTTAGCAGTGGACTTGCACGCTGCTTCAGATATTCTGAAGGCTGCATATTGACTTAGAAAATGTCTCAAAAACCACAGGCACACCATTTGTTGTTTTGGTACGTGTGCTGTTCCACAAACACTCCTTTAGACATAGGGGACTGCACAGAATCTCTGTGAGACACAGGGTGATTGCAATGGTGCATTTTGCCTCTGGCGTACAAGCTATACACCAGCACAGTGCAAGGGTTAAGGACAAGATAAAATCACTTGCTGCTGTTTTGGTTTCCTGAGGGGTTGTTGTTTTTACATGAGAAATGAGGAATGCAGTGAGGACCATTCCTGTGCCAAAATTTCAAAGTATATTCCTGTCAACTGTGGTGCCGTTCGTAGGTTTTACATCAGTCTTAAATTCGGATCTAAGATCTCTGTTGTAGAAGCCCCATCTTGTGGACAACCAATCAATGACTACTTCAGCACAACTGAAATTTGAAATATTTAGAAAATCTGGAGATATTTTGGTAGTTTTTGCAACAAACTGGAGAGTCTTCATATTTCTGGACAATATGGAAACTTCATTCATGTATAGAAATCAGCATGTGCTTTTCAAAGACTATTTCCACAGGAATAAATTGTGGATTGCAGAGAGGTATTAACACTGGGGTGGAACCAAGGATGGTACCCTCAGAACCTTAAGTCCAAATCAGCTAAAACACAAGCCTGAATCCTGCCTTGAATTCCCAAAATAGTGTCCTTTAGCACTTGGATAGTACAAATGAGTCTTTAGTGGCAAAATAAAAAATAAGGGCAGGAGGATATCTTTTGAAAAAAATTGTTAAGAGAGAAAGAATAGCAAAGTATGCATGAAAACTGAATGTGGAAAATTTGGAAATATCCTTAAGGAGGGTGTTTGTTTCAGCACAAAGTAGTGGATGAGGTCAGCAACTCCAGACTCAGTGAGTCAACACACTTAGTAGGAAGTAAAAAGAGTGTGAAAACAAGACTGTGATAAAAGCTATTTTCAGGTTTCAGTATGACCTTGGTAGGCTATATTAGATATATATTCTATTAAATAGAATAACATATACATATAATTAGAAGGTCTTTTTATTGCTCTGAAGAAATTGAGTTGCTCTATGACAGTTTTCTGTTTCTTCCATATGAAGAAGGTAGGATCCTTCCTGATAGCTTTCCATGTAGTAATTAAGGCTGTAACGAAGGGGCCAGAAAATGTGGCGACATCTAGGGAAAGGTTGGCAGAAGTGCCTCCAACTGAAACACCTCTCACTGAAGTCGTGGCCACTTTTCCTGTGAAGGGGATGTATCCAGGGAAATTTTTATTGGAGTGGCTTATTTAGAAGGGATGCCAACAGTAAAGAAGATTCTGGCATGTGAACAGGGTGCCATTGCAGCCCTTTTGATGGGAGCAGGACAGGGGTTGCTTTTCCTACACGTAGATGTTTTACTGAGCAATGGGATTAGTGGGGCAGAAGTTCAGCATTTGGTCATTGCAAAGCCAGGAAATAATTTCTTAGTCCTTACCAATAGTAGTCTGGATGAATCTTCACTTTTAAGACATACCATACAGCTACTTAGAATTCCCTTCATTTAAATAATAAAGCATGAATAGTTCAGCAAGAGGAGTACAGACAGATATTATTAGTATGGTGTGAAATCTAGAGGAGCTACAGCCTAGGAAAAGAAAATGAAGATGTAAAGATTGTCATAAAAGGGTGTTGGAAGGCAAGGATTTATTCCAGCAGTGCCAAGGAGGCGAATAAAAGCTGCTCAATCCCTTCTCTACCAGGTGAGTTCATTGTAGTACAAAGGACAGGTCTTGGTGTAAAGGATAAACTATTGCCTTATTCTGATCAGAAGGCTCTAGAAAAAGTAATTATTGGTAAAAGCAAAGTCTGTGAAGGAGTAGAAGAAAAGGGTATAATTCAGTGATACTTCTTGTATTAGATTGTATTATAAATTACAGGTGTTTGTTTATGCCCATCTGATAAGGAAGGGAATTGATTACATCAAGACCTTGTACCTTCCCAGCTTAGGTACAATAAAATGTTCAGTTGCAGAGAATTCCTTGCTAAAAGGGGCAGAGTAGTATTTATCTCTCACATTAATAGATTTTTTCAAGAAAATACAGCAGAACTGGAAACTTGAAGTGTAAACCTGCAGTAATCCACTGTCAGAAGAATTGTGTAGGTGTATAAAATTGATTTCAAAGGGAATGAAGAGGTGTGACTTGTGAATTGCTACTTTTTAAAGATGAAAAATTAGTTCATATGTAGATCATGTTAAAAAAAGAAAGTAATTTTTCATCCTTATCTCTTTATTATGCACTTTTTTATAGATGTTTTCTTTGGTTGCCTGTAGCCTTTCTGCTATTTTAAATATTCTCCAAATTTTATTGGGATAAAAATGTTAAGAGATGTAATAATACTGATATATCAAGTGATTTAGCATTAAAAAAAGACAGATTTTCAGTGGCCATTTGAAAACAAGGCTTGATGTGTTATGTCAATACAAAACTAAATCTATGCAGTTGAACCTTGAGCACTTGTGTTTGTAATGTATAAAAGTGTTCTTTGAAAGCTGTCTCTGTCTTGTGTCCCTTTCTCTTCCAGCCCAGCCTCTTTGTCCAGAGCTGTGGTGGTGCCACATTTCTGTGGCCCCATTGCACCAGTCACCACCAGAGGATCCACTTCCCCAGGGATGGATCCTGGTGCCTGTGCTGCATCAGCCAGGAGAGGAGAAGGACAGACCCCTGCTGTCACCAAGGACACCCAAATCTCTCCTGAGCCTCATCCAAAAAGGTTCCATAATGTACAGTTCCTTATGGCAGGACACTTCTGCTATTGTTTTGAGCATTTTAAAATGTTATCAGGCAATAATTGCTATCACAACTTTTAATTCTGTGTTTCTGTTTCAAATTTTCCTCAGTTCAATCAGAACCAAAAGTTAATGCCCATTGGCTAATTTCCAGTGCATGCCTCCACAGAACAACTGCTGCCTTTAACTGGTGGAGAGATCAAGGCTTGAACTGACAAAAGACATCTGTATTTTGGAAAACAAATTAATGTTTATGTTTTAATTTATAAGTTCCTGGCTCTTTTATGGTTCCTGTTTTTCAAGTAATGTCTCTTTGGATCCCTAGCTGATGGAGAGTCAAAATGGAAAAGGCCCATGAGAGAATTATCACAATAGAACATCTGGTCTGCATTGGAAAAAGCTGAGAAAGATATTCAACATCCCTGAGACTGAGGCAGCCATGAGGCAGTTTGAAAGTCAGTCCATGAAAAATTGTGCAGGTTGTAGCCACCTGGGCCAATCTAGTGTTGTTTTGGGAAGAGCTACTCTGCTCATGAGCATATGAATTTTAATCTCCCATAAGCATGGATATGTGAGAGCTGGGAGTGGTATGAAAGGTGTTTGCTTTCCATAATGTTAATCTGAGTCCCAGCATTGTCCTAATTATATTGTGGGTTTTTGCCAGTCTCCCAGATTTCTTTTGAGCATGTAGGCTGGAGTCAAAAGGCTTTCCCAGGGCTTTTGGCATAGCTTTACAGGAAAGTGGATGGAAAGGACTTTGTATATTTTTGGAAGAATATTTTGCATCCTGCTTTAAACTATTCCAGAAGGTAAAAGGACATTAGCTAGACTGTGTGTTGGCTCATGTACTGCTATGTCACTAATGAGAAGGAATTTTTTTCCTGTTTTCTGCAGTCACAGACTGTAAGAAATGCAAAGAAATCATGGGCCAGCCAGGGTAGTAAAGGTACCCCTGGATTCAGAGGGAGCAAACTCCTTCCACCACATGAAACTTTGGTCCTTTAAGTCATTATAGCTCATGCAGAACAGAAACAATTTGACATGTATAACAAGAAACATTGCAAATTGTTTGCCAAACAAAGACTTATACTGCAGATGGAAGAACTGATGAAAATTGTTTATAGATGGGGAACTAAATGTAGATTTTTCAAGAACAAGGTTGCTGTCTTCCTTGCCAAGACAAACAAATCTGATAGACCATCTCATTGCTTTAGACTGCCTGAGGACCCACTAGAAAGTCTATGGACCTTTTTCCACAGAAAATTTGTGTATTGTCAATACATAAGTGTATTGTCCACAGTTACACTGTGGCAGCTGCAGAGGAAGTGGAAGGTTCTCAGGAATACATTAGGGAGAACTGGATTTTTGGCTTCTGAAACAGTGTGGAGTGCTTTTGGAAACTGTGGAAGTTTATAAGCTGGATGTTAATGCTACAAAAGGTTATCTGTGAGTTAAATATAATAGTAATTAAACTGCTGACTTTAAATCTTAACACTAACAACACAATGAAATTGAGAATTGCTATCTTCTAGAATTGCAGTTTCCAAGATGCCTTCATTCCTGTGAACCTACCCTGGTCTGCATTTAGAGATTTTCAGTGTTACCTTTAGAAATCTGTGCACAGATGTTTTTACAAAGCACTGTGTAATCATCCCAAACAATGGTTTTAATGGGCCAGTTATTTGGGAAATCATGTAATGAGAACATAAATACAATCCCTGATACTGACATAAAACATGTATTAGCAAAATAATATAGTTTGTATTTCCTTGATATAGAGCAGACCCTGGAAATACGTAACTCATCATGTCCTTAAAATTCTGTTATATCTGTAAACATGTATATTGGCAGAGAGGCCCAGCAGCATCCTGGGCTGCATTAGGAAGAGCTTTGCTAGGAAGTCAAAGGAGGTGATCATTCCCCTTTGCCCAGCACTGGTGAGACTTCAGTGGGAGTGTTGTGCCCAGTTCTGGGCTCCTCACAGCAGGAAGGACATGGAAATGCTGGAGGGAGGGCAGGAAAGGGCTGTGAGGGTGGACAAGAGGAGCGTGTGTCCTGTGGCTGCCCAGGGAGGTTTTGAAGTTGACATCATTGAAGAAACTCCAAACTCAACTGAGCAAGGTCCCAAGCACCCTGCCCTGGGTGATCCAGCTTTGAGCTGGGCTTGGGCTGAGTGATCTCTGTTGATGCTTCCAGACTGGGAATATTTGAAGCACTTTGCTTGTGTCTTGTCAGTGTTTTAGCTGCAACTTGACTGTGGAGAAATCCTAAGGAGAACAAAGGCTGTGACCCCAGAAATTCATCCAGATGGCTGAGGCCCAGAAAAGGCATAATGGGAGCTGCTAAGTATTCTGAATATCTCATCAGAGTGATATTTCACTTAAAAATACAAAATAGAAATTACTGGGGTCTTAATGACACTGAATACTCATAATGTTCTCTCACTTCAGCTGGACTGCAGATGGTAACAGCCTCTCTCTATCTGAACACACTTTTTTTAGTTTAACCTTGCTCTGTAAAATCTTCACACATATTTTACTCTAGAAATTAATACTTGGTGCTTTACAGTGCAGAATTTATTTGCTGGTTTTTTCTATGCTTTCTTTCCTTACTACTTTGTTACTGATATTAACAAATTACAATCTATTTTGACATATTTCTTCAGCACATACTATGTCTCAAGGAATTAAAAATATCATAATTTGAGCAAGGTAACATCAAAATATATAATTACATTATATATTCTATGGCATTTAGTTTGTAGCTATTCTTATAGTACCTTCAAAATAAGAAGGAAGACGAAATTCAAAAAGGGCTTTCATAGTTTAAAAATATTTATGTTGAAACAAGATTTATGTTGAAAGGCAAAGATAACTTTTTTTTTAAATCAGCTGAATGGTGATAGGAAGATTCACCTGTGGTTTTTTTCTTTATGAAAATGCTAAGAAGCTAACTTATAGCATTGAGAATTCCCAGATCCTTCTTTTGAAAATTCTTTGTCTTTTATATTCTTCTTAAGGAAAGAGGAAAGCACACTGGAAAACAAGAAATTGAATAACATTGAACAAGTAATTAGGAAATAAATAGATTATAAAGCATTTTATTTAATTTTGGTTTTGCATTTCAGCAAGTGAAACAATAAGTAAATAACCTGTTTCTTTATTATCGATATATGGAGATATTTTGTGTCTGACAGACCAAGGCATAAATGTATAAGTAACACCTGTGATAATTATTAGAGGACATTAGATTTTGCTGGGGATGAGCCCATTGTGAAACCACAAAATTAAGACTTGAGAAGAAAATAACACATGAAGGTCAAAGGTACTTAGTCATTGGTTGCTGTCTCTGCACCACTTTCCCCTGACTTAATGCTTTTACAGCACATCCCTGATTCAGTCTCCGATAGAGGGTGTGGGATCCTGTGTGGGATGGGGTTTTTGGGGGGGAGAGTATTACTTTAAATTGACACCTCTAGCAGCAGTTCCTACTTGTACTGGTTCCCTTTTATAAATGTGTAACCTATTATATTCTATCCAAGCCTGGCTGAGCTCCAAGTCACCCATTTCTCAGTAATACAGGAAATTAAATCTAATATCTAATAAGCGTAGAGGCTTATGCAACCTTCATTCCCTGTAAAAAGTATTAAATAACATAATAATATTACCTTGTCTTCTGATTGCTAGAGAGCTGTGCACTTCGTTTTTTTGTAGACCAAACTGGCTCTGCATTTGGGCTTGAAGAGTCTGGGTTTATCCATCCTTTTTTGCTGACTTGCTGAATTTCACCTGAAAAATTCTCCTCTTATTAAAAGACCTCCTGAAATGTTCACATGTTGGGCTTGGTCCCCTTCTCCACTTCTCCCTTTGTTCCCACAGAGGGCTGTGTCCCCCATGATCTCATCCTGGGGGTGTTGCTGCTTTCTCATTCATTCTCTCCCAGGATTTTCCAGCCTGAACAGATTTCTGCCTGTTTCATCCCATTTTCTGATAATGCCCACCACAGTTCTGTTGGTGCAGCCTTTAAAAATGCAGAAATCTGACTTTAGGCCATGCAGGTTAGCAATGTAATTTCAGGGCTTTGTCTCCTGCATGTAACCAGTTCAATAAGTGGACTTATACTGAATAATTTTAAACTGTTACAGCCCTCTGAAACCATTTCTCTCTTGCTGCTGTAATACATAAAGTGACATAAGGTCACTGATGCTGTGGAAATTGGTTTTGGAGTTGATATGCTAATTCAGCAAGAAATCAGTTCTAGCAGAAAGGCAAAGAAAATTATTTTAATCTGGTGCTATGCTACTTTGTTAGCTTTTAGGAAAGAGATAATTAAAATATTCAAGGGAGTTCCAAGTCTGTGGAAAAAGTACCATTTTGGAGATTTAAGGTTATTTTTGCCTCACAGTTTATTAGCTTCTTTTCTGAAAGCAAGTAAGCTGAATGTGATGGACACAAATGTGACATTTTCACATGCTAAAAAAAATAAGAAATAAGGTATTTTTTAAAATTGAGTTCTGTATAAGAATAAACTTGGTTCAGTCTTTTCTGTGTCACTCACCCCATGTTTACAGTAACAGCTCCTGCAATTTTGTGGATGAAGACTTTCATGCAGATACATCCAGTAATGAGGATGCATTATGCAACTAATTGCAATGGAGAACAAAATCACATTAATGGTGCCTGAGGAGAAAGAGAATCTCTGCACTCAGTGTGAGTAAGGGGTAGCCAATGCCTTATATATTTCCAAAACAAATATTTAAGTTAAATTTAAGACAATAGTTGATCTCTGAGAATGATCACTAAGAGTTTGAAAGCCCTATATTTTTTGCAAAACACTGCACTTATGCTAAGGAATTTCCAAGCACAAAAAATAAAATAACTTTAATGCTTACTGTATGAATATGCCCAAGGGGAAAAAAAAAAAACAGCCCAGCATAAACTCTTTCATCTTTCTGAGATGAAGAACATAGAAAATAAAAATGCATTATTAAGAAACATTTTTTAAATATCTGAATTGTAAAAGTAGTGCTGTCATTGTCATATTTTAGAAGATAATTTTATAATAAAGAAAAAAAAGACATTTTTCTCTCTATTCTTTCATGGAACAGATACAACGCTGCTGTTTGCAGAGGAAGGACACCAGCTGCCCTAGAGTGAGGGATGAGCTCCTCTGGACATGGGTTGGCTTTCCTGGCTGCAGTGATCAGTATTTCTTTTTAGCAAGTCTGAGATTGCTCCAAGTCTTCATCTCCTCCTGCACTTCATACTAATGCAGGTTGTATGTTATTGAAGAGAGAGAAACAGTAAATGAAGTTCAATGTTTTATTTCATGCTCCCCAAGGTTACTCAGACACACAGAGAATGTGTGCTGCACTCAACTTGTAGATCTTGTGTTAGAAATCCTGGCTCCCCTGTGCTTTCCTGCTTTGCCTGTAGCTGATAAGAGTGCTCAGAACAGGAGCCCCCTGTTACCTCAGCTGCAAAAGGCTCTGAGAATCTAATGGCCAAGAGAGTGCAATTTAAATCTATTTTTGTTTGGCTTGTGTTTCAGCAAGCATTTAAAAGATCCCCCAGTTTATCTTTGTTAGAGATTGTTTTTCTTTTGGCTTAGCTTGGGTACCAATCTCACTGTTGGGTTTACATTTATGGAGTGGGACCCAAGGTTTTCTCCAAGCATTCAGTATTATGATTTTGACCTTGCAAGTCTTGTTGCTTGGGATAGGTATAAAAGGAACAAAAGTAGTTTTGAAAGCTGCCTCTCCTCTTGGTGGCAGGCAGAAGAGTTGGTAAAAGCTGCAAAGACAAGTGAGCAAACTAATGATGGTATTTATTATACATTTTATTTTGTAGGTGTATTTTTAGGAATAGTTTTTAAACTGTAATTATTTTGCTCGCCTTTAGCAAACCATGTGTGAGCACAGCTGTTTTTCCAAAATGCCCGCGTTACTTGCTTTTGGTGCCGCCAGTCGAGTTCTCACGCCACAGAGCAATGTCCACAAGGTGGTGCCACAGCTAAGAAGTTTGCAACAAATAAGGCAAAAGTAATTTGATAATTCTGTATACTTTTTGCGACGGACTAGAGTATCTGCATCATTAAAGAATTAAAAATTATTTCATAAGAAAAATATCACAGGTTTGTAAGCTCTTTTTTTAAACCACTTGTGTGAGCTAAGGTGGGTCTGTCTGCTGAGCGAGAGCAACATCCACACGCCTGTGACTGTCCTAAATCCTGTACAAAAATGAAGAGGCAGCTCAGGGTTTAGCAGTTAGGCTGATGAGGAGCTGGGTATTTCCTAGTAGGGTTACCTGTGCTATATCACTGGCATGTGTCTTATGTTTCTGTTTGGGTCTCTTCAGCAGGAATCGGCCTGAATCCTGAGAAGAAGAGTACTTCATCCACAACTTCAGCCAAGGCAGTTTCCACTTATCCTGGACTGGCTGTGGTACATCAGACCCGAATTTCCTGAGTTTTTTCTGGAGCCAGGGGTAGCCAGGCTCCCTGCCCTATGCTAATCAACAGCTGACTGTTAATTCCAAGGGGTATGAAGTGCTTACAGAGGGATCTGCACAGATGCTCAAGTTTCGGGGCACCTTTCTAGGAAAGATCAGACTAGAGAAGGTACAAGGCAGTAATGGGAAATGTAAGATGTCACATGTTCAGTACAGAAAAGACAATAAAGCTTCCAGGAAAAAGTTGTTTGTAGGGATCTGGATGACTTCTGTATGTCCCAGAAGAGCTGAAGTGCAGCAGGACTTGGCCATGCCCCTGAGGAGGTGTGTGCCAGTTCTTCAGCTACCTTTGGCCACATGGTGCTTCTTACACCCCTGCCCTGCACCCCAGTGGCCTCTGCAATCCAGGTATTTGTCCTAGCACAAGAAATACTTCCTGTCAGCTTCTGCAGTGGACAAATTAAATTTGAATTTTTATTCATTACATAATTTTGTACCAAAAGCAGCAAGAAAAAGGGATACTTAAAATACCATTCAGACAAGCAATGGTCTTGCCTCCAGCTAGTATCTCTCTTTGATAGGCCTGTATCAGAAAGAGAGAAATAACAGGGTTTGCATAATATTTCCTCTAAATTGCTATTATTATTTTTAAACATATTAAAATTCTTCTGGCTAGTAAGAGATTCAGTGCAAATTATGTATACCCAGGAAAGATGGTTTGTCCCCCAGTTATAAAGTAGAATGAGTTAGAAGCTTATTTAGTCCAATTCTAAAGGTTGTCAAATAACACAAAAGCCACCTATTTTGTTTTTAAGGGTCATATCTATAAATTATATTTTTAAGTGGTATACAGTATTTTGAAACTTTGTATTGGTTTCAACATCTGTTTGAAAAAGTCAGTATCTAACCTGAGAACTAACTAAAAATATAAAGTCATGAACAGGTCAAGTAGATTTAATTTCTCAATCAGTCTGTTGAGTTAGCTTGAACTGAATCATGACAGTCAGAGTATTCCGGTAAGATTGTTCTGAGTGTATGGCTGCAGTGTGTCTTGAAATTAAACTAACATATTTCTGGTTTAGTTTGAGCTTTGCTTTTTCTTTAACTTTGCAAAATTCTTTCAAAAATGTTTACTTTTCAGATACTTAGCACACAGTAAAAATGATGTTCTATTCTGAAGGGAATGAATGATAGAGTATCTGAGATTATACATCTAAGTCTACACAGTGTGGAAACCCCAGGTATGCATTATTTTAGCAATTTCACAACTGAGTTGAAATCCTGAACCCTCTCCCTTGCAGTATTTGCAACAATTTTCTGCTTTTATTGGAAATCCCGTAAGTATTTTTAAAAGATCAAAACTGTTTTTTCCCTAAGCCTGATTTTCTGGTTTCCCATTTAGGCAGTGATGAACAAAACCTGCTTCAGCTCTCTGCCTGACTCTTGGTGGCTCAGAAATGCTCCTGCAGATGCAGGGCGCTCACCGGAAGCAATTGAGGATGGCAGTGGTATCCTGCAGGATGTGTGCGACTGCTCCGCGGGGGCTTGATTTACACGGGGCCACAATATAGATTATACATTCTGGTAATTGTGGTATTGTTATTGCTGGGCTGCATCTCAGCACAGGAAGCACATATAAGCACATTTGAAGTGATAACATCCACTCCTGTTTAAAAAGCATTATTTTATTCCTGTACATAATACAGCATTTGCAAGAGAAAATGGATAATTTACTAACTAGTACTTAGCATTACTTATAGGGAAAAAGCTGATTCATTATGGGAAGGCCACAACCAGCATCTACAAATAAATCCACTTAAACTTTTTATCACTTTTTTTTTTTTTTTTTTCAGTATGAACTGTAATCCAAGATCAGGAAGGAGACAATGCATTGCCATCTGAAACACAGCAAAGATCAAAATATGTTTTCAGTGTGCCACCAAAACCACAGTGTTAGGTTTCTGTTAAGGAGAATGAGTAATACCATTCTAGCTGCAAAGGTTGCTGTGAGTGGGTAAAAATTCCATCTGACTGATAGGGCAGATTATGCATTCTGCAAGAAAATAAATAATCCCAGGCAAAATCTTGCCCTATTTCTTCATCTCAATAAGAAAGCCCACTCACCATTCCCACTTAGCTGAATCTGCTCTATGCATACTTGCCTAGCTTTAGGATTCAGGAACAGGTCTGCTCTCCATCCTACATCCCCAAACTAGCCCTGTTCAGGAACACATTGCCTCCAACCTTGGTGTGGAACGAGGCATCTGTTCCTGCTGCTGCTCCCAGGATGTGGGATGTGGGTTGACCCTCAGCTCTGCAGCTGCAGGCAGTGTGTGGAGGCCCCTCTCAGAGCCTCTCTCCCCATTTCTCTTAAAAAGTGCAGGTTTCAGACCTTTCTGTGCACCCAGGGAAATTACTGATCCAGCCAGTGCTCACCCAAGTTCCCTCCTGGAGGGGGTTATGGATCTGTTGAGAAGAGGGATGCAATAACCATTTCAAATTTTGTGTGCCAGCCTATTCTCCTCAGACAACACAAACTGACTGAACACAGGTAACATATTGTGCATGCTGTGCCTATTTCTTACTTTCTTTTATCAGGGAAAATAGATTAAAATTGGTATTAAGTTTCCTTCTTGTTCCTCCAATAATAGAAAATTACCAGGGAAGAGAAAATAAAACAGAGATTTTGTTCTCTGGAAAGGCCTTCCAGCTAAATTGTATTTTTTTTTTAATATTGTGAAATATTCTTGCCTGCCTTAATAGATGAGAAAAGTAACAGTAGAACTGTGAAACAAATTAATACATCAAAAATATTGACCTGTGGACCATAGCTAAATCTATATTCTTATTTGTAATAGCGTTGCTGATTGATAATACAATGCTGTGCTGATGCTGTACTGTATACATTGATTTGTTGAATTGATAGTTATTATGGGTAAGGTTCTAAACAGACACTAGAACATAGAATGAATGACTGACCTACTAAAGATCTAATAATAAAACAGATCTAATAAAAACATCTAGTAAGATGTGACAAGCACATACATAAAGTAATCCAAAGCCTAATGATTTGTTTTACAGTTTCATTTTAAAACTTTTTATTGTTTTCTATCTATATTATTTAACATTAAGAATACATTTTCCTTTATAAGTTTTTTATGCTACTGGTCTGAAATTTTTGTACAGACAGCCAAACTAACATTGAACAGAAGTACAGTTTTTCCAGATGTCATACCTACAAAATTTTGAAATTATAGTCCTGCTAGTGCCTCCTGATATTTATATGCCTTTGCATTGGGGTAGCCTCGTTACTGTCTTTTTTGGAAGTGTCCCCTGCTTAAGTAAGACTTGATTTACAAAGTAATGCTAATATATGTTTGATTTTAATTAAGATCTTCACTATTTTCCTGAATAGGAATCTCTGTCCCTAGTTTTAACTTGTAATACCCTGTTTAACAAAGGAACAACTTCAGTCATACTGAGAGTACTTATACAAGTTTTCACAGTTGATTGCTGGGATGAGAGCTGTAAAAATAAAGATCAGGTGAAGATCCTTTCTGGGAACACACTAGGACATGAATCTCTATTTTTATTTTTAGTACATAATTCTATTAAATAGACAATAATAACTTTAATCAAATATATTTATATTTTTGTGTGTCATTGGAGTCAAACAGCACACCTACATGGCTCATGTGTGACTCTTCCTGCAGTACATTCAGGTTTTGGCTTTCATTAGGCAGTGAGACATGTTTCCGGCAAAAATTTTATGCAACTTGAAAAGGGGACTCTGATTTCATATGGGAAATTTATTTCATCCCTCTTACATTACATCAAAATCACCTTTAATCGTGACTATGGAAATGAAAATACCAGGCCACAGGATTTGCAATTAACTTGAGACATACAGAGGAAATTCTGTAAGTTGCTTTAGTCTCTTTATTTTGCCTTTTCTGAAATCTGTCTGATTTTTGTTTCGTTTATAAGAGCAATTGTTAGTGGAAATGTCTGTTTTTCAATTGAAGTGCTCTAACAAGCTTTCTGGTCTCACTTGAGCAATGTAACAGAACACCCAAAACAACTGGGATGTCTTTAGGTCTTAGATATTTTGTTTAAATATTCTATTAAATATTTGAGAAGGAAAAAGTTCCTTAAGCATCAGAAGACAGAGAGTTTAAAGATCAGACTGAGCCATGCCTCCTGCATTTACTTCTCCAATAAATCTGTCAGGATTCTGACCAGCTGGGCTGCCAGATGTATTCCTCCACATTTTGGGTAAGTAATCACTTGGGCCTGGGATCTGCTGGACAAATTATGCCTGAACCCGTTTGCAGTTATTTTAGGTGACATACTAAAGTGGTCAGCATAAGCTTAGAAGACTTTATCCAGCACTTTGACAGCATGCCAGAGGAAATTCCTTGGGATTCAGAGTCTAAGATTTCATTTCAATTAATTGTCAGAATGATGAATATTATTTATTCCACTCTAAGGTGCATTTTAATCTAAAACATGGTCAGACAGTGTCAATGCAGGCAAAATGGTATTTCTTCCTACATAAAAGCCCATCTAGATATAATCCAGTTTGCTCTCCTGTCTCTAGATTTGGTCTGCAAGGATAACAAGAATGGAGACTGCAGCTGGCCTAGGATTCCCTTGCAACTGAACTTCATATAATTAGGCAAGTCAATTTTCCCACCAAATAAAATTATTAAAAGAAACAACATTATGAATTGAAACTCCTCAAAATTATTAAATTCTGTCCAGTTTGGAAGAGGAGCTTTATCAGGCATTGGAGCCCAGTGGGCAGAGTGCTGGGCATGGATTGAGAAATCTGAGTTCTCTTCCAAACTCTCCTGACTTTTAAATGGCCTTGAGCTGTCACTTCTCTGTGCTGCAGTTTCACAGTCTGTATGAGCAGGATAATAATCCTCCACAAAGGTTTGAGAGTTGCTGAAGGATGGATCTATATGAACACAACATTTCTTGCACTAGCCTGAGCTAGGTGCAGCTGTGGTTAGAGGTGGCCAGGATTTTCTCAATTCCTCATCTACTCCCAGAAAATCTAGGAAATTTTCATTGTTAGACTCCTTGCTTTCAGTTGTCTGTCAAAACACATTTTCATGTTAAAGGTCTTTCTTATCTTCACACCATTACAAAATATCTCCAGAAAATTTCATTTTATTTAGTTATGCATTAATGCTCACAGTTCATACTCCTGTTAGTGGGAACTGCAAAGTGCCCTGTCAGGATCATACAAATAATTACTTAACATAGATAATGTATCTTTGACCTAAAAAAGAAAAGATTTTTGCAATATTATGATTAGTATATGTGGGGAAAAAATATCTGTTGGTTTATGTTGTAAGTTTGAAAAATTCCCCTTAAAAGGACAAGATTTTTTTTTCAAATTATATCTTGATTTTACACATTTTGTGTTAATAGACAACATGCTCTGTGCACAAAAAGAACAGTCTACTTTCAAAACTGCTGAATGGTTTGACCTCAAGGGAATAGAAACTGTTGACTCATTGTTTTTACTGCATATAATATTAGTCCTTTGTCACATCCAGGGAATGACATCATCTTCCTCATTGTTAGCAGCAGGTTTGAATAACAGAAAAAGTGCAGCATTAGTTGTCTGCTGTGTTTGTTCTTAATAAATGAATGGATATCTGGTACCAAGAATCAGATTTGGGGTTTTGAGTAACATTTAGAAGAAGTTTGTGCCCAAAGCCTGCAAAGAGCTTTGCTCCTGGCCACCATCCGCAGGGCAGTGGAGCTGGCTGGAGCACGGAGCCCGCAGAGGGAACATCACTGATGGCTCTGGCTGCTCCAAAGTGATAAGAGGAGGCAGGAAAGAAGAGACTAAGCACAGAATGAAACAGATCTGTTCTTCAAGGTCAGCTTAGTAAAAGGAATCCCTGCACTTCTGTGAATCATACTTCTCTGGAATCTAAATTTATGAAAAGTAATTATCTGCAAAGAAGTCATCTCTAGGACACGCAAACAAAAAGGGAACTGGTTATCTTCAAAATGCAGCATTATAAGTATTCCATCCATTCCAAATTTTTATTCATGTCTATTAGTCTTCTACTCCCTATAACTGAAGTATCTATGTCCTAGTCTCAGAGAGTAATTCCTTATCAGAAGTATTTTGTTATATCTGCTTTATGGGAGAGGGATACATCATTATAGAGAGTGATCAGGCTGGTGGAATTCATCTTTGACATGACAGATCACCTTCTTCTATGGCAAAGACTAAGTGTTGCTTCCTGAACAATAAATACTGCCAGTGAAAGAGAGATTCTTTGAAAGTCTGACTAAGTGCCAACTCCTAATCTGCATTACCCACTGCCTCGAAGCTTTCCCAGGAAAATGTGATTATTTAACTATAAAATTATACCTTTGTGGTTCCAAAAATATTTATGCTGAAGATAAATTCTTGTGTTGAGAGAATGAATCAAACTGTAGTTTGAAAAGCTGAAATCCATACAGCTGTGAGAGGAGCACCCATGCAGGAGGCTGGGAAAACTGGAAGCAATGGGTTAAGGAATCCAGGATGGATTAATCACAGAGGTCCACAGACCAAGAGTGGACTCAGGCAGGGGCTACACACATGGAAATTCTTCTAGAATACCAGAGCTAAGAATAAAAAGACAAGCTATGCTGTAAAAAATCAGATCAGACCTTGTTGACTTTAAAGCAGAAGAGATCTCATGTATGAACCTCTTCTCTCATGCAGGTAGAGAGACCTGCCTTGATGTACGTGGCTCAGACTGGAACAGGTGCATCTATCCCAATTCCTATCCCAAACTTATATCCTAATTTATCTGTTATGAGAAGTAAGAAATGCTACACTTTTTTTTTCCTTTGTGTTTCCTACAGTTTTGCTATTTTCCAGAGTTCAACATTTCCAAAAGGTCTCAAGTAGCATGAATTTTGGTGAGGCCAAATCACTTGATTTTCCCTTGCCCTGTTTAGAAGAGGCTTTACTTGGACTAAAGCAATAATGCCAGCCATTTCCCTTCATCCTTTAAAATTACTGGCCACCTCTAAAGAACTTGGCCTCTCTTTTGTGTCACTTTTTGACAACTCATTTGAGTTAAACAGGTTGCTGTGGCCAAATTAAATGCTTGGGAAATGGACCATACAATTAATTTGCAATAGTAAGTTGTCTCAGCATCATTTCTCTTCCTCTCGAGGGGAATGCTGGCTCAAGCAAAAGAAAAGATTAACGTAATAAAAATATTCTAAAGACATCCTGTTAATTGTCCCAAGCTCAGATGGTATTGTCTATTCTTCTGTTGTGCACAGCCAGCAAACAGTGTAAAATCCAGAATTCCTTCCCACCATGAAAGCAGAGCTTCAGTGCTACAGAATAATCCCTGCCTTTCTGGAAAGCAGATGAAAATGTGGTGTGGCAGAGCTTTGCTTTGGGTTTCAGAGGTGAGCTCAAATTTGCCCCATTTATGAATATAATAATAGGACTTGTTAATTTAAACACATCAGCAACTTTAATTGAGGAAATAAAGATTTGTCAAAAAAAAAAAAAAGGAAAATTGCAAGCAAAGTAACAAATTTGGTGGGGAAAAAAAAATTTTTCTTCTGAATATGCAAATGAGGCCTCTCTGTGTTTGTTTGGGGACAGAAAACACTTGAGGTTTTAAATTCAGTCAAACCAGAAACTTTCATTTACAAATACATTTGCAGTGTTGACCTTGAATATCACATTAAGTGGCAACAAATCTCATAGAGAAATAAGTTAATATATCAAATAAAACTCAGAAATAGTCACAAGTGACTGAGTGAAGCAAAGCTTGCAGAAGAGTTAGATTAAACAAGAGGCTGTAATTCTCTGTTTGCTCTAAAATTTCCTTAATAAGGACAAAGTCTGATTTTTGCTTATATGAAAATAGTCATAAAATGTGTAAGAAAACACAGAATGTTGTTTGCTTCAGTTCCTGTAAACTAATCAGGCTGGATGATGAGTCTTCCTGTAACTGGGAGCACTGCTGAATACTATGCATGAAACCCTGTTCCTCCCCTCATAAACAGCTCGAGCTTTGCCTATGTATCAGTGCAGAAAAATAAGTATTGACTTATTCACAAATTACTTTTTAGGCATTGGATTCCCAGAAATATATTTGTATAACAGCATTTAGAAGCAAATGAATGTGTTAATAACCAGGTCTTCTTTCATTTTATGGCCTTAAAGACACTTTGATCTTATAAAATCATGTTTGTCATCTCAGCTCTGGTGCTCACTTCCTACCTCTTCTTCTAAAATGATTTTTTGACATCAATTCAATATGCCCCTTTTCATTTTATTTCAGACTGCAAATTAAGATGTTTCTTAATAATTTATCAAACAAACAGGTTTCCTACAAGATGCTGACTTGTTCTTGGGGTTTTTTTTATGTCTTTCCAAAATGAAGTATTTTGGATGTGGTACAGTGTGTTCACATGTCAAACATGGATATTTTAATTCTGTCACTCCCCAGAACAGTAAAGAGAGAAAATAAATCAGATGTTTTATCTGATTGTACTTTGATCAGGTTTTTCTCTGTTCTCAAAAAGAACAGCATGGAGCTTCACTTGCTCCACAAAAAGCATTTTTAGCTCTGAAAATATTTTAAAGATATCTCAGAAAAGCCAGACCCAACACTTAACAGTTCTACTCATCTTAAAAAAAGACTCACTGTTTTACCATGGTCATAAATGACCATTTAGGATCTCCTGGTATTTAATCTCTATTACATTAACTGGGAAAAACTTATGAGTAGGAGGCAAAATTGGACAAAATGTCACTTGCCATAACACTTCTATCACTGTCCATCACTGACATAAGTGGGTGATGAAAAATGTCTGTAATTGTGCTTCTGGGTACATCCTGATACATAGCAATCTAGGAAATACTGACACTGTGTGTGACACAGGTGGGAGAGATGTGTGAGCTTTCCCATCAGGGAATTTTGCTGGGTTTGAAGTATAAATTGAAACTAAAAATGTTAGTGATTAAGTTCATGGTGGCCATGAAAGGCTAGAGGCTGTGGGAGGGCTTGTGGTTTTTAACAGAAAAGGCAGAAAAGCCTGTGGGCAAACAAGAAAGTAATGCTGCCTTCCTTGTGTGATACTCTTGCTATAGGCAGAGGATGTTGCAGATTGTTCTGAACATTGAATAATTCAAGTAAACAATACAACTATGAAAACCCAAAAGTTAGATTTCAACTGTTTTCCAACTCCTTTGTTACCTTCTCAAATTATACTGCAAAGATCCAGAGCCTAGACCTGTGGGAAGTCTCCAAGGAAAAGTCTGAGGAAGGCATTTTTCAAAATAATTTACCATTTAGTTTCCTCAGCAGGGTAGAAACTAGATAGAGCTGTTCTGCCTCGCCTCAGTCTTTCCATTTATAGAAAGTATCCAATAACATATAAACTTTTTTGAAATGTTTGTGAGACTTCTCTGTGCTCCAAGGGAGCTGGTGTGCTCCATATTTATGATATGCACCAAAAATTATTTCTCTCTTTTAGTGTCTCCAGTGCAAAATCATTACATTGCCAGGAATAAATTAAGCCTGACTTGTGGGGAAAAAAAAAATTGGATTCCATCGTGTGTTTCATATTGTACCATTATGAAAATGGTATATTAAATTCAAATACTTCAATTGTACCATTAGATGTTGTCATTATGTGGCTGGCTAATTGATAGGTTATTCAAATGAACATTGTAATTTTAGACTTCTTAGAAGCATCCATGTGAAGAATTTCCAAACTTCAGAGAAGTAAACTGGGTGCTAGGAAGGAAAAACATGTACTGAGAATATTTCCTAATGCATGTCACTGAAAAATCATTACATAACTGCCGTGTGCATTCCGGGACTTGGTGCAGTCTATTTTTAATACCCGGTATGAAAGAACTTCCTGCTACTTTTTCTCTTTAAAAGCTGTTTTGTGGTTCATTAGATCATGTTGTCAGGCCAGGTTTTCTGCTATCCTTAAACCTCAATTTTTCCTGGTTTTTAAAAAAAAAAAAAAAAGAGAGAAACTGTATAAAAAGGAAGAATGTGCTGAGTGTAAGATACCTTGGAGAGTAAGGTACATTGTGTAAGTGTTGCAGCGGTCCCTGAACTGAACACTGTCAGACCAGGCCTAGTATTAAACCCAAAAGAAATCTAAACATAATAAACACATGCATACTTAAGAAAGGCAAAAGAATTTGTATGCCAAACAACAGCACCTAGCAAAAATTTTCAATTAGGAAAAAATATGGGTTTTTTTTTAATTAGAGTAGTTTTAATTTCATACTGATCTCTGGTGTTATCACAGGTCACCATTTTGACCATAATTTGGATAATCATGACCATTAAGATAAAGCATTTTGCTTAAATGCAATGAAAAATTTTCAAACACAGGCTGTGCAAGATCTTTCAGAATATTTTAACTGCAGAGAAAGTTTACAGCATTAGTGGAGTTTTGCTGTTAAAATCCAGGACAAACAGACTGATAGAGATGAGATGGCCACAGGGACCAACATTTTTGCCTCCTCTGACTTCTTGCAAAACAAAGGCCACAGGAGCTTCTGGGTTAATTTATTTTCAAGCAAGAACATATATTTTAGGCAATGGTATAGTCAAGTGACAGAGAACCCACTAAATCTGCTAAAAGTATTTAAAACTATTAATTTTATAGACAAATAATGTTTGTACTTGCAAATTAACAAGCAGTTCATCGTACACTAGAAAGGCCTTCAGTGACTCTCTTCATTCCATCCCCAGCAGAGGAATGGGATGACAGTTTTTGGTGCCAAACAGCACTGGGTGGTGATTGCTGTGACTCTTGCTGTGAACCTGCTCTGGAAGTCTCTGGCAGGGAGGCAGTGGAACGTGTCAGCACAGGACTGGAACAGGGCACACCTCAGCTGCCCTCCCACAGCCACCACTGCTGCCCTGAATCGGAGCTTTCAGTGTAGGGAGCAGCTCCTGAGCTGCCTCAGTTGTCCCAGAAGGCAAACAGTCAGCTGTGGGAGATGTGGGGCACTTTGGGGACTGTTACATGATGCTTTCCCTGGGGCTTGTGATGGTAAACTGCACTGATGAGGATATTTAGGAACCCCAAAGCTAATAAAATATTTGTTGCTTTGACATTACCCCACCGGAAGCAATTCCTTTCACCCTTCACTCTGCTCTCTCTGTAAAATTTCATCTTCACAGAATACTTTTGGATCATTTATTTCCACACTTTTGTAGATCTTTCAAGTTGGTTTTGTTGCCAAAGAGAATGGTCCAGTCCTCAACTATACTGCTCCCAGCCTCAATTGAGCACACTCTCCTCTCCCTCTTCATATCAGAACACTCTGGAATTATTTTCCTTTATTTTCATTTTTACATTCAGAGGAAATATCTTCACACAAAAAGATGAAATCTGACTTAATTCTGTTTACTCCAATAAAGTTTTTATTAAGAAACTCATTGCAGGTCACTTAAAAGTCTTCCACTGCTCTGCTTAACCTTGTCCAGTGCCTCAAAATAACATCTTGTTTTCAGTTGCTTGTCACTGTTTGAGCTGGTATTTTCCAAGCCAAGCATCTGCCTCAGGTTTAATTTTTGGCAGTTGCCAGCTAAACCACTGTAGTAATTTTCAAGAACAAGGTTAAAAAAATATTTTGCCCATATTAAAAAATAATAATCTAGTTGCTTCATTCAGAAGTGCTGGTATCCCTGTTACAGAAGGAATTTGAAATGGAACACCCTCACTGGTCTACCTTCATCCATGCACCTTTGAAGCAGCAACTTGGAGTTTGGCAGCACCTCTGCTGTGGTTTCACAGATGTGCATCCAAATGTAAAAAAAGTTAAAATACTCAAAAAAAGAGAAAATCTCAGTTTGCATGTGATTGGTTAAGAATAATTTACTTTTGTAATTTTGCTGAGTTTTCCAAAGGCCAGCCCAAGCTGGGGGCTTTGCGGAGCGGCTGGGTACGGTGTGTGCCCAAGTGCTCCTCCCTTCCTGTGACACCTGGGTGCCTCTCCTGTGTGCAACACCTCCCTTTCTCCTGCTGAGAAAAGGAGGATGGGTCACAAAGATGAAAGAGATTGGGAGGATGCCTTCAGCCAGGGAGCAGAAAGTGAGAAGGAGGAGATGAAGACAGTAGAGTCCAAGGAGACAACTACTGCTGACCAGTAATAATTTTCCTCATGGACAGGAATCAGTTGTGGAAGCAGTTCTGCATGACTAGGGAAAAGAAAATTATACATATTTACATAATAAGATTCTGCTATGCTATGGGAAAAGGTCTGATACATTGGGTAAGGAGATTAATAAGTGTCATGGAGATAAAGATAAGATGCCAGAGGAAATAATTAAGAAAAAAATAAGAGGTTGGATGGGCAGCTGAAGCAAGGGAAACTAGGAGATGAAAATAGAGTGTGAAGTGTGTAAGAAGGCAGGAGCCAGGAAATGGAAAGATGGATAAACAGTGTGGAAGAGAAAGAGCTGGGAGTTACCTTATAACAGCACAGAGGAGAAAGAGAAGGCAGGAGCCAGGCAGAAGGAAGAGCATCAAGGGAAAGAAGGGGTGTGAGTACAGATTGAACTCTGAGACTAGGCTGATCTTCTGAGTCAGACATAAATGCAAATTGTGATTTATCTGTAATGGTATAGGAACAGGAATCAGGTATGACTAACATCTATAGCCACATTTTCTTCTCTTGTTAGAGATCTTTATCGCATATTCTGGATCTCGTGAGCCAGAGCCCTGGAGTTAAGGTGACCGCATGTCATTATCTGTTTATTTTTCAGGCTTCCTCTCTCTGATTTTGTTAACAAACATTCGAGTGTCTAAATTACAATATATGGCTTTATTTTTTTAATTGTAGTAAGAAGCATGTCTGCAAAATCCATTTGAAAATGCTACAAGTAATTTTGAAATGATAGGTAGGGCTGCCAGCAGTGTCTCTCACTGGCAGAGGAAAGCAAGGCCCTGCATTCAGCCTGATGGCCTTTCACTGTGGGTGTTTGTCCTCTACGAGGGCTTGCACCATCCCCATTACATTCTGTGTAATTCATCACAGGGGTCAGCAGCACTGCCTTGGCAATTTTACCTCCCACCAGGCAGGAACACAGCCTGGAGACACAGGAGCAGAGTGGGAAAGGGATGGGTGCTGCCCACGGGCAAAGCAGAGCTGGAGGTCACTGAGCAGGAGCCAGGGAGGGGAGTGGGAGGTGTCCTGCCCCGTGGTACTGCTGGAGCTGCAGAGACACCAGTTCTACTCCTCCAGTGGCAAAACAGGGGGAAACATTGAAATTTGCCCCTACCATGGTGATTTAGCTTGCAAGCATTTGCCATTTATGTTAAATTCTAATTTTCTTTAATATAAATGGCAAATGCTTCCCCACAAACAGTGTGTTTGGTCTGTCACATTTTCTGCAAGCTGAAGGCAAGCTTTGCAGAACTGAGCTTTACTTTCCTTTTGAGAATGAAAGCAGCACTGCTGTCAGAAGATTGAGTTGGTGGTGTGTATCAGGTGATAGAAAAAATTACTCTGCACATGGTCTGACATTTTTTAATATATACTTGGGATCTGCAGATGTTGATTTGCTGTCTGTTTATCTGTTTGTCATACTGATAGTTTAAATCCACAAACTGCGCTTATACTAACAACTCCTAGGGAGAAGGCTGCTGTTACTGCTTGGTTCCTCCTAAAGATTAAACAGAGCTAAAAGTTGGTACATTGACCTCTTGCTTCTTGAGGCAGATCTCTGTTCAAATTCTGACCTACGTCCTGGCTAAAAATGTGTTCAATTTTTTCTTAATTTGTAGTAGATACTTGTGTACATTACAAAATCGTCTTGCAATTTGGCAAATTAGGTTGTCTGTGGTTAGCTCTGGAATTGCAGATATATTGCAGTGCACTGCAGCATTGCATAATGAGATTCCCCAGACTTTCCTTACTCGAGTGAGTAACAGCAATTCTTATCTCTAGCGAGCATCAGATTCGTCCCATTTTTGAGAAAAGAATTAGTATCAAATATACGATGGGCATGTTATGCCTTGTGGCTGCAATGTTGTTTCAATTAACTTCCCTGAATATACCACAATGAAAAGTGTCAGCTTTTTGCCTCAGAGGCCTATAATTAGATTAAATTAATACTGTTAATTATCTACTGCCTTCTTTACACAAAACAGTATGTTTCCATAAATTAAAATGCTGGTACAGGAAGGAAATTGTTGTTTTCTGTAATACATGCATACAGTGCTGGATTCTGAATACTGTGACTGCATCAAAGTGTAACACAGCTCTTTGTCTGCAGCCCTTATTTTACAGGAGCTAAACCAAATTACATCTGAAAAATCCACAGACAGCACACTATTTTAAAGCATATATATTGGTGCAAGGAGGTGATATTAGTAAATGTTACAGTGCTCCTGAAACAAATGCACTCCTCTCTTTAACAGATGTTCTCTATAAAATTCTCTTAGGGAGATTAAATACAGCTTTGTTTGTGTACCTACAGTCACACCCTCAAGGACTATGTTATGTACAGAGAAAAAACTGCTTTTTCTAGCAGAGTGTACTTCTCCTTTCAGAAAAAATTTAAAAATCCATTCTATAGGAAGTATTTATAATTAACAGCTTGGTTTCCTGGCCTGTGTATATTCCAGCTGGTGTGGTCTGAACATCTCCTCTGCCTGTTTTCCAGCATTACTAGATGCAAGCAAAAGTTCCTGACTGATCAATTCAGTCCTATCCTGGCATGCCTGATTTGGAAGTGCAGATTTTCAAATGGTGGTACATCACCTCTAGGGTAACATAACTGAAGCAGAAAGTACCCTTTTTTGATTTGACAAAGTGTATCCCAATGTCCCTATTTCTATCAGAATAGATGTTAATAACTTCAGGCCTGAACATGGATCCTCCCTCACCAGAAAATTACAATTAACTTTAGCAGAAGCTCTCATTCAGGCCTGCAATATACTCCGCATATAAATGTGATCTGTACCCAGGACTGCTCTTGTGTTTCATTAAGGTCAAACCCTGAAAAGCTTTTGAATACTCAGTGTTCCTACAAGGCATCGCATTTTATTGTGGTGTGTGCTGTGTATCTTTTCCTTTAAATCTTCATTAGCTCCGTGTATGTAAAAGTGTTCATTAAAATATCATTGTGCTGGTAATAATCTTAATATTGAGGAGTGAAGAGGGTTGTGTTGCAGTAGAAATGCTGCCCCGTTTCCTGCTCTCAGGGTGTAACAGGAGAAAGAAAGACCATCTTGATAGGCACTATCTGCTAAAGGAAAACTTTCAGAGGAGCTGTGAATTGACTTTAACCTTTTAGTGGCTGCACTGTGAAGAAAATGTTTCAAGCTTCCTACCCCGAATTAGGCTTCTTTAATTTAACAGATTCGTAAATGCTAGTGGCCCTTATAATTACTGGTACAAATATCAGAAAACAGTTACAGAGGAACAAAGAAATGCAACTGGAAACATGGTTCAGTGGTCTTGTACTTCCCTGAAAAGCTGATTATACTTTTGGCTGATTCACTTTCTTTCAGAGGGAATTTACCCTTTCTGGCAGTTTGAGTCTGGTTGCACCAACGGCACAAAATGTATCTGGGGATGAGGAAATTGGCTCGGGGTCCCCTGTGTGTCAAACTGAAATTTGCCACCGAGCTCTCAATTTTGTCTTCTAGCCCCTGAGTGCCCTTTGTTTGGTCAAATTCAGAAGCCATTTTAACACTAGATTAAAAATAGAGCCATTTCAATTGTGCTTTTGCAGGTGCCTTGCCCAATTCCATGCTTTCCCTGCATGACTTATCTTGTAGGATAAGCACTAATCAAAGGTCAAGGTTATTCTGAAGTATCCAGCATAGGAGAGGTCTCTTGTAGATCCTTAAGCTGAACTTCGCACAATTATAACTGATACAGTGCTGAAAGGTAATTCAAACAGGGGAAAGGTACAAAATGACAAGCAGGAACCTTTGGCACTGTAAAATGTCCCTGGTGATTTGTACTTAGTGCTTCTTCAAAACGCAGAAGCCATTTTACCACTCAGAGCCATGGCAGAAGTGAATTATTATTTTTTTCCGAGTGAGGCTCGGCAGATCAGGGCTTCCGAGCCAGGCTTGGCACATCTGGCTCTCAGAAATGTGCCATGTACTTTACATTCGAAGATAATTTTCTCGCCTCTGTGACACAGAAGCCAAGAAGCGTGGATTTTTCCTCCCCCCTCTCTCGCCTGCCTGATTTTAAAATGTAACACGAGGTCATGAGAAGCTCCGGCTGGGAGATACACCTTGCTACCCATTTTTTTAAGGAAACCTGGAGACAAACCTGCTCGGTTTTGCTTTCTACGTGAGCTGCGGTGGGGGAAGATGCTTCTGCATCCCTGGACGCGGGGCCGGGGGAGGAGAGCCCGGCGCAGCAGCGGGAGCCCCGCCGCCGCCGCCGCCCGGCAGCGGCCACAAAGATGCGTTAGAAACATCCCCCCGGCAAGAACGTGGGTCCCTTCTCTGTACTCACTGCGGCTGCGAAAGCACCGGAGTTTCGCTGAGGAGACTCCAGTCCCGGCTGCGGGGAGAGGGAGGAAAGGGAGGGGAAAAGAGAAAAGAGGGGAAAAAAAAAAAAAAGGAAGGAGAAGATAGGAAAAAAAAAAAAAAAAAAAGGGCGCAGCGCAAGTTGCGGTGGCGGCGGGAGAAGAGAGCGGCGGGGGCGGCCGGGGTGTCCGAGCCCCGGGGCCGCGCAGCGCTGCCCGGCCCGCGGCCGCCCCGGGCCTGTCGGCGGGGACCGGGGCGCAGCGAAGCGGCGGCGGAGCCCGCGGAGGAAACTAAATAAATAAAATCAGACTGTTATTTAAGGCGCGTAAATTTAAAATTATTTGGACAGGAAGAGCAAGGGGAGCGGAGCCGCAGGAGCCAAAGTAACGGTTTCGGAGCCGGGCGCGGCCCCCCCGCCCCGCGGCCCCGCGGCCCGGCGCTCCCCGGGGGCCGCCCGACCTGCCGCACCTCGGCCGGCGCGACCCTCCCTCCTCCCCGGGGACCCCGGCACAGCCCTCCGGGAGCACCGACATTTTGAGTGCCTGTGTGGTGGGGCAGGCTGTGCTGAGAGCCGGTGAGAAATCTTTCTTTCTCTCTCTGTCCTTCTTTCTCTTTTTTTTTTTTTTTTTTTTTTTTTTTTTAATTCCCCACCCCCCCCTTCCTCCATGCACAGGACAGCAGTCCCCACGGATAAATGTAAAAGCTTTCCTCCCCTCGCTTTTTCGAGGGAATTTCAGCACTTTAGTCAGGAGATAGTAATGTCTGGCGGCTTCTGGCTGCCCAGTCAATTCCCAGGTACATTTGTGGAAGAAACCCTTTTCTTTCTTTTAGAAGATGGAAAGTGGTAGTTTTCTCCTGTGTTAACTCTTTCTTCATGTGAACAATGCAATGGCATTTCCTAGAGAGCTAATATCTTACCCCACCATGGAATAAACCATTGATTCCATTCCCCTCCCCACACTGGAAGCTGGAAAGAAAGTATTTTCTTGTACTTAAATGTGCTGTGCCTTATTGCACTGGAGGCTGAGGAAAATTCACCTTCAAATACCTTCTCATTCACTCTCCCCCGGCTAAGGACAGGGCAGTGCCAGGGTTAGCTCTGCACCTCTGCCCCTCTCTCCCCAGCACACACAGATCGGGTATTTCACCCTCTCACGGCGCTGCTGCCACAAACGAAACTCTCTTCGTTCTCTGTAGGATCCCTTTAGGATCTGCCCCTTTCCAAAACGAGCTCAGCAGCCCCCGCCGTTGTTCCGAAGATAATTTAGAAACAAAGGTCAAGTGTAACAGCTTTGCTCATCCGTGTAACTGAAATAGGGGAGAGGGCTGTTGCCCCACAGTTGTGTCCTCACACAGCCTGGTCACTGTGAATCCTGGTATAGCTACATTTTATGTTCTATTTCTTCACATTTTTCTGTGCTTGCTGTATTTGTTTCTATTTATACCTCTCATCTCGATACTGCACTCTTTGCTGCCGATTCCTGGGCTGCTGCAGGGCGATCTCTGCTGCTGCCTGGAGACTTACTTGGCAGTTGGTTTATGTCTCAATAAAAGCTCTCAAAATTATTTAATTCCATCTCACACGCTGCAGTTTTGCATCTCTGGGTAAATATGTTTGTCGACATTTTCAGGAATATGCGAGTTTTTGAAACTGGACTTTTTGATGTTGCCAAAATACTGGGAGAAAAGCACCAGAGCAATTTCTGAAACCACATGCGATATAACAATCTGTTTTAGGTGTCAATATTCTGTATTAGTGAGACTTGCTTTATATTATTTTCTCCTCGCTCCGTAAATATAAAGACTTCTGGAGGAAAGCCATTCCCCAGCAACCAGGCATCTTTTGTCACTGACAAACCCACAGTACCCCACCAGCTGACTGATTTCTTAGGTTTCCCAGAGGCTCTCTGCAGTAACTATTAACTTCCTGGGATAACAGCAATTTTTGCTTTCCAAGTATCTAACTAAGATTTTCAATTGATCATCTTGTTCCCGGTAAGTTGAGGGGCTCACAGAGGAAACGCAGCAGTGAAATCAGATAAAACGCACCTTTAAACCAGACTATCACCCGTGACTCAGCCGCCGAGGCTTTGGGCATGGCTGGGGGTGATTCGTCCTGGCTTTAACCCTGAACTCCTGGCACGCAATAAACGCCGCTATTTCTGACTAGGCGGGGCATTTTTCTCGGAAGAAAAATTGTTCTATTAAGCCACTGCTTAAACTTCGCCTTAGCGTAAATTAAATGCTGGTGAAGCTCCAAACGGGTTTGGAATGAGGTTTTTTAGTAGCACGGGTGAAAAAAAAAAATAACAAACGTGAGAAAGTTGGATATTACCTTCTGGTGTAGCACGGAATTCCTCTTTGTGAGAGGAATGGAGAAGGAAAAGGCTTAGAGCATCCTCCAGGACACGAGGAAAGGAAGATGAAGAGCAACACAGAGCGATCTGGGTCACTTCACCTCAGGAACCTGTGGATTATGTTGCTTGGTTTAATATTTCAGGTGGTTTAGTGCTCTTTCTATCGGGAATTTTAGGATTATTTCCCCAAAAATGCTTCCTACGTGCCGTGCTGCTCCGATTAATGATCATAGCACAATTTTTCATATTTCACAGAGGTTTTTAATCAGAACACAGCAGTGTGACAGAGCTTATAGTAAATGTGACAGACAGTTTCAGCAATTTTTTTTTACTTGAAAATGTAGTAACTGATTTTGTGGGGCTAATTAAAAAAAAAAGTTAAAAACTAAACTAAACCCTCTCCTCTTTTAAGTGTTATTTAATGTAGTATTCAAGTAGTATTCATTTTGCATTGATTTAAAACCTTCTACTTTGCACGACTGAAATTTAGACTATTCAGAATGAAGCACTTTAAACTGTCCATCTGCCAAATAAGTAGATCCTGTACAAATGTTAAAAGTTTCATAATAGACTCTTCCCGACACGGTGCTGAGCATCGTTAGCTCCTGTTGGGGCTGGAGAGGCAAATGAGTTTCAGTCTGGTGAATACTCTCAACTCTCTGTTGCAATAGAAAATTTCCAATGTAAGCAATAACTTAACTTCACAAATATCAAAAGTGCTGCTCCCTAAACGTCACTCTATTCCAATATTCTTGTTTTGTGAGATGCTGTCATTAAAATAGTTTCTTTCCAGACAAAACAGAATAGTTGGTGGAAAGCAAATATTACTCAGAGAACATCTAAACTGCAATCAGCAGATGAAGCGACCAGAAGTCTTGTATTGCAGCTTTCATGTCCTCTTTGACAATGGTTTTCTGCTGCTTGTTTTGAAACTAAAAAAAAAAAAAAAAAAACCAACAAAAAACAACGACTTCTGCAGTGCACAGTAAACACGAACTACTAAACTGAGCTGTTTAAAACCTCTGGCAATCGAAGAAACACCACTTATACTGTTTCTGGTAACTAAATTCAAAACCAGATTGGTGAAAGTTTAAATATACAAAGAGGAAAAGTGTCATCTACATTTAGAAAGTAAGTGACCTAGTTCTACAAGCTCTTGTTAGTGACAAAATACAGTTACTGCCTAAAGCATCTAAGCGCCATCCACTGTCCTCAGGCCACGCAGCCTTTGACTTCCAGCTCTGCCTGTGCAGGGGCTGCAGGTGACCCCTTATTAAAAAGATGTTTTTATCTAAAACAGGACCTCAGACTCTCGAGCCTGACCAAGAGGGGTGGGGGGAGTGAGGAGAAGGGAGGGGTGCATTGAGAGGTGGGAGAAATCACAGTAAACTATTTCCTTTTCTTAAAAGTCCAGCAATATGAAGCATGTGAATAGTAGCTGTTGTATTAATGACTTGATATGAATGACCTAAAATAAATTGTAAAAGTTGATACTGGAAACCTAGATATGAGCAACCAACATACACACAGATGAGTGCGTAAAGTGAAAGGTATAGGGAACTGCTCGGAGCATGGATTTAAAACGTTTCCATTGTCTACAAACCCACCTCTGGAATTTCTTGAGACTTACACTACCAGCTGTTCAGGGAAAAAAAAAAAAAAAAAAAAAAAGAAAAAAAAGAAGTACTCTGGCAACAAACGTTGTTAAAAAGGAGGGAAACAACCCAAGAAGTCTGCACACCCTCAGGTCCAAAGGAGACCCCGTCCCGGCAGGGCTCAGGCTCAGTCCATGCTGGGGGGGAAGGAGCTGCTGGCCTCCAGCAGCTCCACCACGGCTGCCCTGCGGTACAGCTTGGCCAGGTCGTAGGCGGTGGCCCCGCGCTTGTTCTGGTGGCCCACCTTGCAGCCGGGCAGCGCCAGCAGCAGCTCCACCACCCGCACGTGGCCCTCCTGCGCCGCCAGGTGCAAGGGCAGGTTGCCGTCGTTGTCCTCAATGTTAGCATCGGCTTTGAACTCCAGCAGAGTCTGCAAAGTGTCCAGAAACCCCTCCCTGGCTACATCGTGGATGACAGCGAAGCCGGTACTGTCTCTCAGGTTGGGGTTCGCCCCGTTGCTGAGCAGCCGCCGGGCGATCTCGGGGTTCCCGAGTTTCATCACCTGCGAAGAGAGAGAGAATTGGATACCGCGGGTGGGGCTTTGCTCCAGCACTGCCTCCCGGCCTCGCTCCTCATCCCTGGCTTTTGTCAGAGCCCAACTCTCATTTAAAGCAGACAGAGGAGACTCGCTGCAGAACTAACGACACACCAGAACATCTCCTTTTTCATGTATTTCTCACTGAACTCGGTGAAATTGTGAAAGATGTTATCACTTCGGTGGCCGTAGCTTTCTGCCTCGAAAAAATTAATGCCTGAAATAGCACAGAATGCCATATAACAACTTTTTTTTTTTTCCCCTAACGAAGGTCATCTCAGTTTCTTAACATATAAAAATTAAGTATAGTTCAGTTATATTTGCCTAAGTATTGAGACACCTCTGCATTACTGTTTAATCTTGTTAAACAGCAAATATAGGGTCTCTGAGGAACAGATATTTTACCTAAGCAACAGCAAATGTAGAATGTGTTTTTACAAGCTTTCAGGTGTTTACATTGTCTGTGCATTATCATAAAACAAACATTTGGACTGTACCATAGCTCTATCTGTTGAGAAACATACATGTTAAAAGAAATTATTCTCCCCAATATTTATGTTTCATTTAGGTCACCCAAAAAGGAAAAGTCAAAAGGAATGTTTCAAAGTTACAGAAGTTGTTTTCTAAAATCAGTATATTATATTATACTTTCATAACCTTTCTATAAGTAAACTGAGGCTACATTCTGTCGTTAAAACATCCCTTAAAAAATTACAACAACAACAATAATTGGATTTTCTGACTGTTTCTCTCAGGGAAAAAAAAAAAGAAAA